TTAGTCTGGCACAAAATATTGAAATGGAGGAACGAGAACAATTCGTAAAATGAAAATCAACAAATCAGAATCTCAAAACAACTAAACTTAACAATCTACGACTAAAATTAATTCTGGATGAACTAGACCCACGTGTAACTCTCAACGAAGCAATAACAATAGAAGCAACTTATAAAATGAAACATTCAAGTAAAAGTTGAGTCTCACAGGCATAAAAATCCACATTGGAAAAGAATAAATACAGAAAAAAAAATTGAATAACTTAGAAGTGAATTATTAGTAATCGATGAACTAGAAAGAGAAACAAATATAATGATTAGAAAAGGTAGAAGAGTCAAAAGAAAATACAAAATTAGGAATCAGCTAAAGAAAAAAATAAAGCAAAAAATACAATTGAAGTTTCACCAATCAGAGCCATGGAAAAAGATGAAGATTCTATAGACAGAACAAGATCTCTCAAACCGATGTGAAGATAATTTACAGAGAAATAAACAAACCAAAAATTGAAGTGTCAAACTACTGGACGTGGTTATACAGTTCAGGGGAAAAAGTATGGGCTTGACCTAAAGAACATAACAAAGAAGCAGATTGGATTGCACAAGCGGAAGAACGGATGAAAAATAAGCCAGCAAAAACACGTGTCGAAATCACAGAAAAAGATGTTGAATGTGCACGGGAAAAAAAAAACATGCAACTGGAAATAAATCTGTAGGAATAGAAAAAAATTCCTAAATTTTTGTTCGATTATCTAAATACAACACAGAAAAAAAACGGGTAAGAGAAATTCAAGGAATGGTTAATGAATCTACTAAAATTTGGACATGGATAACCAAAATAACTACCTTCCTTCTATCCAAGAATTGTGACACAACTGTCCAAAAAACTACAGATCTATTAAATGTCTTTCCACGACTTACAAACTGTTAAGTTCTATTCTGACAAAACAGACATATTCTTACTTAGAAAAAATGACGTACTACCTCTTGAAGAAAAATGGTGCAAACCTGGCTCTTACGAAAGTAAAAACCAATTACTTATTAATAAGATTATATTGGAAAACTGCTTGAATAAAAAGAACAATCTCAGTACTGCCTGTATAACTTACCGTAAGACATTCGATAGTGTACCGCGTTCCTTGATCTTAAAGTCTTTAACTATATACAAGGTATCTCCAGTCGTCATTAATTTAATCATAAAATATGTCGATATGGAAAACAACACTTCACCTCCCTCATACAAATGAAATCAAATGTCTGGTGAAATAAACATAAGAAGGGGAATATTGCTTTACTATTTTGTATATCCCTAATAGTATTAACCAGAGAAGTTAACAGAACGGAATATCTCAATAGAAAATAAGCGATCTATTTTACATGGATGACTTAAAGTAGTATGCTAGGAATGAGCATGAGCGAGTTGTCCTGAAAAGAGTAAAATGTTTCAGTGATGACATTTGGAATGAAATTCAGTTTCGATAAATGTATTAAGGCAACAATTTTTTGAGGATCAATGCAACAATCCCCCTCTATTAACTTAGGCTCTGGGGTAACAATCGAAGATTTAGAGCTAGTAGAAGCTTATAAGTAATTCTGTGTAAATGATGAAGGAATTCTCCATAAAACTGAAATAGTGCGAAAAGATTACAAAAAAAAGTGTGTGAATGATATTAAAAACTAAACGGAATTCTCAGGATTATGACAATTGTCTTGCTATACCAGTTGTTCAATATAGTTTCAACATCTTGAAATGGATTCTAAATGATATCAGATGAATGGATTCTTAGAAAAGAAAGCTTCTTTCTGAGCATAACATGCATTAGCCAAAGGCTGATACAAACCGTCTATAAATACCCCTATTAAGGAGGTGGAAGCGCTCCTATTCAGCTAAAATTGTCATACAAGACAACAACTATTGGCTTTCTAACATGTAAACAACAAAGCATTGGATGGTACAATTAGTCAAACAACACGAAAACGGAAAGAAAAATATTCAATCATGAAAGAAGGTTGTAAGTACAAACGAGATTTACATTTAATAGATTTTTTAAGAAACAAAACAGAAACCAACAGTTGCTGCAAAAATTACGAAAAATAAAGCTAAGAATAAAGCTCTTGGACAGATGAAACAACGCTGGCTAGACATAATTCTGCATGGCCAATATCCAGAACATTCTAATAAAGCCAGTGTTGATAAAGTTAACGCGCGTCGATAGTTACGAACATCTAGATGAAAGACTAAAACGGAAGTCTTTATTCCTGCTGCGTTAGACCAGAGTCTATTCACTAGAAACTTTCAGGTAATTAGCACAGATAATCGGCTGGATCAAAAATGCCGGTACAGCGAAAAAAAATACCAGGAAAACATAGACCATCTAATCACAGGATTCTGTATTTGCGGCAAATGAATACAAAAAATTGTCACGATAGAGTAAGAAATATTTACACTGGTCAATGTAAAAAAAAACACTTTGGAAAAGATATGAAAAAATGACCTGTTATAGAAACAGAAGACATGACAATTCTCTGGAATTACACCATTTACATTTTTACAGACAGGAAGATTGAAGCAAATAGGCCGGACATAATTTTCAAAAATCGTAAGTAAAATCATGTTTACTAATTGATGTGGTTCGCCCCGAGGACTATAACATAGCATCCACGGAATTAGAAAAAAACTATCGAAGTATAAAGACCTGGAAATTAAAAGAGAAAAAAATATGGAAACTGAAAACAAAAAATTGTACCTGTTATAGTTGGTGCCCTTGGAATGATAAAATGGAACACAGAAACACATTGAATAATCACTGGTAATCTCAGCTTAAGAGAAATACAAAAGATTATCTTCATGACTACAGCCCACATTTTAAGAAGAACTGTATCCAGGTAACGCTAGTGATGTTATGGGAGTTAGAAAAACAAATCATGAAATGTAGTCACAACAATTACACCACTAACTGCCTTAGGTCTTCTCGCAGATTTAGCAGGAAGTGGGATCATAGTAGAAATCGATATATAATAATAATAATAATAATAATAATAATAATAATAATAATAATAATAATAGGTTGCACGATGTTGGCACCCACTGAATATAAAATCCTCGTGACAGAGTGGGCCAATATCTGCACTGGAAAATCTGCAACTTCTACGGGAAGGAAACTGGAAGAAACTGGTATGAACACCACCCAGATCCGGTTACGGAGATAGGACCTGTTACAATTCTATGGGACTACACAATACACACTGACAGAACAATCAAAGTCAACCGCCCAGATATTGTTATTAAAGACCACAAACAAAAACGGTGCCTCCTTATTGATATGGCAGTTCCAGCTGACTGCAATGTATCTTTGAAGATATCCAAAAAGTTGTCAAAGTACAAGGACCTTGAAATAGAAATCTCGAAAATGTGGCATGTGGGAACATCAACAATTCCTGTTGTAGTTGGAGCCGTAGGACTGGTTGGAAAAGATTGCAGTAGACTAATTGAAGAGAATCCTGGAAGTCCATGCCTCAAGGAGATACAAAAAATTGTTCTGACAAGTACAGCCCACACTTTACGAAGGGCTTTATCTTTATCTATGTAATTTTTTTTTTTGTCAGTGGAAAATGTCATGATGCCATTTCTAACCTTAGGTCCCTGGGCGGGACCCGGAAACAAATGCGTAAACGCCAGAAATCAAAGAAAATAATAATAATAATAATAATAATAATAATAATAATAATAATAATAACGATGATGATGGAAATAATAATAAGAAGAGCGCGATTTAGCAAAAGAAAAAGAAAAGGACACAGTGTTTGACAATGTTCAACAATATTTCGACAGTATGTGTTTCTTTAGGTTATAAAAAAAAACAAAAAAAAAACACTTTTATTGGGTATAAAAATATATAAATTTACAAAACTTGTCTCCTCTTTTAATGAAACAGAAAACTACCATACTGGTAATGAAGGCGCGTAAGAACGATTGAAACGCGGCCCGCGTGAAGGCATACAACTGAAACGTTCTTAATAGGATGGTGACCTTGTTCATCTTGAAATTGTCCGTTAGTTGATTCTTTACTAAGAGGAACTAATCAAACAGCTTAGTATAAATCTTATGGAACTCTACAGTCATTCTGTTCCTCCCCCCCCGGGCCGCGATGTTAGTAATTCGAATACGTAACTATCCTCATGCGTTTTAAAACATGTGTTTGATCTTAGGAATTTTTCTTTCATGTTTATTTTTCCTCCAAAATGCTCATTGGGAAATGTTTGATGATATTTCTGAACTCATGTCTCTGGTCGGGACCCGGAAAGAAATGTGTATAAACAGGAAATCGAAGATACTACTACTACTACTACTATTACTACTAATAATAATAATAATAAAAATAATAATTGCCCTTGGTGTTAGTATCGGGTGAACTTTTAATAAAAATAGCAAATTGGTATCTCCACTTATAAATTTATAATGACTTTGATTATAAGCCTATGCGAAAAACAAGATGATGTTAGCCATAGCATTATGATGATGTTGCCTATCTGCAGTACAATAGCAGAAACGCACTTATTCTTCAGTGTTGAATATTATATAACCAGGCATATTTCTGCATGGAGATCAAGATCTTTTCTTGTGGCTTCTGCTAATGGTTGAGTGTCAATAAGATAATGCAACTCATTGCACCGTTTACAGTCATTTTATTTGGAGAAGACATCGCGAATTTGGCAAATATCAATCTTAATTAGAACCTCAGGACAGCGAAAGTGGGAAATGAGAAAGTGGCGAACATTTCTCCCCTTTAGAATATTTTATTTTTCACATTTTCATTACTGCATTTACAATCTCCATTCGACTCCAGAATTATCTTCTTTGGCAATCTTTGTTTCAGAAGAGTAATTTTTATTCTATTCCCTCTTCTTCTTCTTTTGTATGCTCGCTCTCATCAACAGCATCAGAATCATCATCAGTATCTTTCTTTTGTTTTCCTCGTCTGCCTTGTTTATCGAATATTCCATATGCCTTGCCAGCTTATTCTACTGCCATGTCTCCTTTGGGATCCATTATCGCTTTTTACTGAAACGCCTGGATCCTTTTCTTTACTCTTTGAGTACTTGCACTCATTTCTTGTTACTCCGCCGCAGATCTTCGGCCGCCATTTTTTAGCAGCGTTTTTCAGTTTTCTATTTTCATTTCTTTTATTTTCAGTTTTTGTTCTTCTAAATTAGCGAAAAAATTCTACTTTATATTTTTATGTCGCACAATGTCTTCTGATATCTAATCGCTAGTTCTTTTGCTTCTTGTCTATTCCGAGGTTTACTGCAATTAATCTTTCCTAAACTTGTGCTATCATTCGCTTTTTCGTCTCTTTTCGTTCCTTTCTTTCTTTTTTCTTTCTTTCTTTCTTTCTTTCTTTCTTTCTTTCTTTCTTTCTTTCTCATCATAATAACTATTCCATCTTTATGTCATTATCTATCTATCTATCTATCTATCTATCTATCTATCTATCTATCTATCTATCTCATTCTATTCATATCCATCTACCTATATCAGTCTGTCATATCTATCTATCTATCTATCTATCTATCTATCTATCTATCTATCTATCTCACCTTATTAAATATTTCATCGGTTCATTATATCTATCTATCTATCTATCTATCTATCTATCTATCTATATATCTATCTATCTATCTATCTGTCTATCTATCTATAAACATAATTAATACAAAACAAAAGTAATAACAAGCTAGAACTTGAATGATGTTTTACCCTATCAACTTTCATAAACCCCACGAAGAATACAATGAAGAAACGTCAAGGAATTTAAATAAAAGTTTATATGAACAAAAAGTATATTTTACAAGACAACACAACCAATACATTAGTTGCTCATCATAATGAGTTCAACCATAATTTCGATCTAAAGTAATGCTACTCTAATTAAAATAGAAGGTAATTTACTCAGAAAAAATGCATAGAAAATGATGTAATCGTTAGATCAACCATAGTAGATTAATATTCAGGTTTTTGAAACATTTAACATTTCTTGACAACTTTTATTATGGGATATTTAATAACAAAAGTGATAAAAACATGAACACAAAAAGGCAGATTAAATCGAGTAGACCCAAATCATATATTTAAATAGATTAATTAATTCAAAATGTGTTCTCTCCTTTCTGCACATGTGCAAAGTCATCAACGTCAACATCAACTTTAGTCCATTGTTGTTCTTAAGGACGAAACGAATCACACACACACACACACACACACCCACACACACACACACACAAACAAAAAAATTGCAGTTTGTCACAGATTTTTCTAAATTATTTCTACCTTTTAACTTGTAGAATGCTTCCTTCTTGAGTGTTGTGGTCACCAATGTTGAATGGCTTAAATAGATAATGTGGCTGCGTGTTGAAAAGGTAATAAACATTCATACATAATATTTAAAATATCAAGGAAAAAAAACAATGAAAACCAATTTTGTTTACCGAATAAATATATGTATATTAAATTCAAAAATAATACAAAGTAGTTGTAATATGAGTGAAAAAGGGAGAAAAAGTATCTTCCCCTTGTCTGTAAGAAATGTTTTAAGGAAGATTTGGCTGAGTAAAATGTTCAGAGTTCAGTGTTGAAAATAGAATATTTCTTTTAGAAAATTGTTCAGTTGTTGCAACTTACAGAGTTGATTTAACTTTGTGTGTCCACTGAGAACTGGTGGTGTATCAAATAAAGTTCTGTATTGTGTATGTACGTGCGAAGTGAGTAGGATGAAATACACGAGCGAGTAGATGAGATCTATTGTCTCTGGGTACATTCGACTGTGGTTCTGGAACTACTACTAACTGTTTTTTTGGAATGCATCCAATATTTACACTACCTAGGGTGGCTCCCAGCACAGACGCTGGATATATTTTTGAATATACATGTAAAATATCCGATTGGACGAAAAATGGATCAATCAGCGATTTTATAGCAAAACTTGTTTTTGAACAAAGTATAGGAAAAAATTCACTATGGTGGAATGCGATAGATAAATTGTCCTATTATTTTTAGTATGTATTTATTGACCAATTAGAACTGGAGAAAATGTAGGCGTGGCACTACAAACTATTACTGCCCACCTTCTCAGTTTTAACGATGGTTGCCATTAATATGTCAATATATACGAATTATATTGATGTATATATGTTTAACATGCGAGCGAACGTATTGCATCGCTGTAAAAAAATAGTTATTAGGTTGGTGCAAAAACAAATGACGTCATAATGTCGTTTTTTACGTATTTTTTCAAAAACGACATTATGACGTCATTATTTTTGCACCAACCTAATATTTAGATTATCTTTATAAACATCTTGTACCATTCGTCATAAGGAATGCAAGGGTGATGTAGTAAAAAACAGTACTAGTTAATAAACTTATGCCAAAGCTTTATTGCATTTTACTCTGACTACTCGTCTACTGACGGATTAACAGGATGCTTTTTATACCGCCTAGATCTTAAGGGGAGGTAACTGATGATTCATCAGTACAGGTAGTACAATAGGCACCGTGAAAATAATTTTTTTTCAAACTTTTGCTTTCATATTACTATAGATTAAACATGCTTGTTTACGAACAAAACCCATAAATAATTACAGGAATCTATTTAAGAACAATAAAAATCTGGAGCTCTAAATACTTAACCGAAGAGGAAATATGCACAAAAAACACTTCCAAAAACCTCCAATATTTTCATTATTTCATCGAAATGTTTTTTTTCAAGAACCGCCTCATTGTGTAACAAGCTCCACCAGGAATCTTTTCTTGAACACTACAGCTCGAACCACTTTTTACAAAAAAAAAAAGAAACTAAAAAAAATAAATAAACTCTAAGAGGGTAAAATATTCAATGTAAATTCAGCAAAGGAAGCCAAATATACCTACCACGTCTTAAACATTAAAAGAATATTTCTTAAACTTCAAAAATATAATTCTTAAACTTCAAAAATATTTTTTTTCAAAAAATTTTGTTATGTGTAGTTTTTTTTTCATATATTACTATCGGTTAAATACTACAGATTATGATATTTCGAAATAAATACTATTGAAAAGAAAAAAAGAAGAAATCACGTTGTATGAGCATGTTTATGTTTGCCTTCCGTAGAGGGATCAATTTACAAGGAATTTTCAATAGTAAAGTGGACTTCCGTATTAACAGTTAATAACAATTAATTTTTAAAGATTTCAAGATCTGGAGCGTCCAATCTTTAATAATATAAAAACAAAATTTGGATAAAATGGTTATTTCCAGTCTCAGTTTAACTCCAAATAAATATTCACCAGATTTATTTTACTTTTTGTTACTATATGCCGGAAATCCACAGGGAAGCCAGAAGAGTGATATATTTTTTTACAATGTTACGTAATTTGACACAGAAAAAAAATACACCACTTTATGTTTATTCAGTGAACAAAATTACAGTTTGCAAACGATTGCCCCAACACAAATTCTGGTTTAGGAATAAAGAGTTATCCTCAAAGCTAAGAGAGAGATTTAATGCCAAGTAACATATGACCGTGTAGTAGACACAAAAGGAATGGTGAAAATCCGTTCTTCTCTTTACTTATTTATTTTTATTTGAAGTCAAAGAATGTTCAACAACAATAAAATGCAAATCTTTCTTCTACCCTTTTTTCTGTTAAATTTGTTTATATACAATTATTCTTACTAAATTTCATCCAATACAATAGCCAGTTGTCAAGGTAGATAATTACTGAATGGGATGTGTGATATAAACATATGATGCGGAAGAAGAGAACGAATATTACAAGAATATGACGGATGAATAACGAAGAACATAAAACTTGAAGAGGTTAAGAATATATTGTTCATGGAAACATTCATGGTGGAGCTTGTTACCCAATGTGGCGGTTCTTAGGAAGATGAATTTCGATTAAATAAAAATATTGGAAAAAAAATTGAATGTGTTTTCTATGCATATTTTTCTTCAGGTACCTGTTATGGGCTGCAGATACTTAATGCGCTTAAAAAGAATTCTATAATTATTACAGATTTTATTCTGTTACATATGTGGTTATATTAATGCAGAATCATCTTTGTATCTAAAATAAGAAATATGTTTGGTAAAATATTTTTGAAAGGATCACTTTCTAGAAATTTTAAAAATCAAACAAACCAAAACGCCAAATTCGCATGACATAATTTTACCTGATCTTGTTAACAAACTTAACAATTTTGAACTCACAATGTATATTATTTTTGAATTGGAGACTAACAACATTTTATCCTTCTAAGATATGCTACATAGAAATAAAAATAAGCATCACTTGAAATTTTACAGAAAATCTACATGAAAGACGTTATTAGTTTTTTCTTATCATTGTAAAAATATAAATCTGAACTATAGATATTTCTAAATATCTCTGTTGCTGAAAGAATTACTCCTTTACCAAGCCGACATACTTGACTATAAAAATGATAAAAAATTAAAAGAAAACTGTTTAATTCCGAGAATTCAATTATTTAGAATATATAATACGTAAATTAATCCCCAATTAAAAAAAATATAAATTATATTTACAAAATATAAAATATCCACAACAATATGAACTCACTTTTGTTTATTAGATATTAAATTACCTCACTTAAAAGCCTCCCTAATTTACCCAGAGTTTTCCGCTGGCCTGAAGAACATTCATGAGCGTTGTTAAATTAAAGAAAACGAAACGAAAATGTAATTCTACTATTGTTTAAAATATTTATTGCAACATAAAATGCTTGCAGTTACCTTCATAAAGTTCATCAGATTGGTGCTAAACACTTCAGCTAAGATATGTTTTCTCTTTGTATTTAAAATTCTTTGATGAATTTCATCCTTAACATTATCTTAAACTGATTAGATAACTTGAAAAATAGATATCTATACTATGCAATATATATATATATATATATATAGATAACTAGACTCGTTTCGAAAAACCCTCGAATTTTTGATTTGCTAATAATCAAATCAATCTCGAGGGAAAAAAAGTTTTTTTAAAAAAAAAGAAAGAGCTACAAACATGAACTTCTGCCGACAAAAAAATCGCACAGATACAGGTCTGAAGCCCAAAGAAAAAAACCCGATACGAGTAAACAACTAACAAAAGCGCTCAATACAACTGTAGAGCAGACCTAGATCGATCTATCGATCTATCTATCTATCTGTCTATCTATCTATCTATCTATCTATCTATATATATATATATATATATATATATATATATATACATGTATGTATGTACAGTTTTTTACCATTTCAAACGTTATTTTTATTGGATAGGCATATCTGAGTAGATGATCCGTTTATTTGTTAAACAGTTTATTTATCTATTTTTGTCTACCGCCTAAATATTTTAGAAAAAAGAAAAATATGCATTCACCACCATGATTCCAACGCGTGTTCTTCTGTACAGTGAAAAACCTTCGTTAGATCTGACGTGTCTCAAACGACTCGACTACAAAGAAGCTTCGACCATTAATCCAGCGCCGAATGGTGCATTTAACCAAAATCTTTCATCTCAAAGATTAATGGAATTTATCATATCGACTCAGTTTCTTATCCAAACATGTAAAAAGTAATTTTCTGAAGAAGTAATGATTTGTTAATTTATTAATCCGACAGTTTTTTTCCACTTGAAACGTTATTTTTAGTCGATACTCATATTTGATTTAACGCTTCGTT